GGAAACTGCAGCCGCATAAATTTCTTCGAGTTGAGCTGGATCCCGTTCAACAGGACGTGGTTGCTCGTTTACTACGGAGGTTGAAGCAGGAGTTTCAGGGGTTTCTTGTGGAGGTTCAGGCTGCGTTTCTTCCCTTGACCCGGGATAAATAAACTCCTCGTCTTCATCGTCCTCGTCTGCTGCAGGAGCTTTGGCTACTTCGTCGTTTGGCTTAACATGAGAAGAAAGGTCCGTTTGAGATGTATTTGAATTAGTTGGAGTAGCTTGAATGTCAGATAAACCGGATCTTCATGCGGTCCCGTCAGCGTTTCTGCTCGTCAGCAACAAAGATACGCACTCCTCAATCGTACTGAGTATATTCGACGTCATAAAGTATTCCTATAATTTGTGAGATATTATCCAAAATGAGGTGCGCCTTCAGTGGCGTTTCTGCCGATTCACGAGAAGTCCAAGTCCCAAACGGCGTCCGTTAACCAATTGGGCGACTTGACCTCCCCCTGCAGATCACCACCTCGCTTGAGTAGATCATGAAAAGCGACAAAAATAAACCCAAACCTCCTTTGAACTCGTCTCGATACATTTTGGCGGTTTAGGTGTTCGATGTGGGAAATGGACATGTGAAACCTGGAAGAACAACAGAAATTCTGAGATTTGAACGAGATACGCGGTAAAATCTCGACTACGGGAGTGCTAAAAGGTCGGCCGACCACAGGATTTCTGCTGATTACGCCACTTGTTTCTTCTCTCCTGCCTAGTCAGAGTCAGCAACTCTCAACTAGTCCAGATCGCATTCTTGGCTCTTGTGTTGTGCACCTAGTGCGAGGAAATCAACTTTTCGATTGGAACAGTTGACTAAAATTAGATGCGAACAGCTCTCCGCGTCGTTGGTCGGACAATACCCCAAGTATACTCCAAAACTCCAATCAGAAAGATGTCTACAGAGGCTTCATCACAAACCAAGGCCAATGGTACCCCTGTCAAGGCACCACAATTCGCCCTGTCCTCTCGGATGGCCACCGGTCGAGCCATGTCTCTCGATGTGTGGTCCGTTTTCAAGTACGGTACTTCCTGTTGGTCTTGTTTAGTTATGCTAACAGAGCTCGTTAATAGCGCAGCGAACCTTCCCGAGGACTGTATAAACCTGGGACAAGGTTACATGAACTTCGCTCCGCCTCAATGGGTAAAGGATGCTGCAGACGCCGCACTGAACACTGTGGCCGGAAATCATTATTCTCATCCTAAAGGGCGCATTCGTCTTCGTGAAGCGGTCCGTGACTTCTATTCCAAAGAGTTTAATCGCACTTTGGATGTGGAGAACGAGATTTTGATCTCAAGTGGCGCAAATGAAGGTAAACGAATACTATTGGCTCATGAATACTACTGAATATATCGACAGGGCAGTACTCCGTATGGGTGGCTTGGCTAGAACCCGGAGATGAGGTGATCCTCTTTGAGCCTTACTTTGACCAATACCTCCCATCCATTACATTCAATCACGGTGTACCTGTCTACGTTCCTCTGCACCCTCCACCAGACTTTAAGAATAATCCAACATCGGATGAGTGGAAGATTGATTTTGACGAGCTTCGCCGGGCGATCACTCCCAAGACAAAGATGATCGTTGTCAACACGCCACACAATCCGATTGGAAAGGTGTTTACGGAAGAAGAACTCCAGAAGATCGCCGATTTAGCAATCGAACACAACCTGATTGTTATGTCTGATGAAGTGGTAAGTATGCTCCTGATCCCATGGGGCTGTGACAGTTGAGCACTTCAATTTCTTCTCAGTACGACTCTCTCCTCTTTGATGGTAGACCACATGTGCGGATCGCCAATCTCCCGGGCATGTGGGAGCGAACCATCACCGTCGGCTCGGCTGGCAAGTCCTTCGCATGCACAGGGTGGCGTGTTGGATGGCTCATTGGTCCACAATCACTTATCGGCCCTACACTTGCTGCCCAGACCCGTATCGTCTTCTGCACCAACTCTCCCCTACAGGAAGCTGCGGCCTGTGGCCTCGAACAGGCTGAGCAGAGGGGATACTTTAAGAAACAGATTGAAGAGTACACCGAAAGAAGGGACGTACTTGTCAAGTACTTTGATGAACTAGGTCTCAATTATTCGTTACCGTACGGAAGTTACTTCATCCTTGTGGTATGTTACCCTTTTCTCTCGCCGCCAACAGCAACATGAATAATCTTTATAGGATGTCAGCAAAGTTGAGATACCAGAGGATTATCCTTTCCCCAGCACAATAATTGGGCGGGGTAGAGACTTCTAGTGGGTCTCCTCATCTTTTTTTGTATACTCATCTGAGATGTTCTTGTAGTACTGGTTGGTTCTTGGCTCAAGAATTGCGAGTGTCCTCAATACCGGTTAGCGAGGTAAGTCGCTCACAATAATTCAGCACTGCTCGATAAACTCACCATGTCAAAGTTCTACTGTGACGAGCATATGAAGATAGGCGAGCGTTTCTTGCGGTTCGCCTTCTGCAAGGACATCGACACCTTACACAGAGCCGGAGAGCGTTTGAGAGGGATCACTAAATTCTTGAAAAAGGAATGAAACGCTACTCTCGGACTCAACCTTGTTCTTATTTGTTGTCAATATATATTGCTTTATAGACAGCACAACACTATGCTCTATGAAAGAATATCTGATGGAGAACTTGGGATATTATTTCAATCAGAGGCCGTCCATAAGGAGTCGACCAGCCTAGAGAGAAAATTAGCCCTGTCATCTTCCAGATCGTAATAGGTTGGGTTTTTCTCGAGTCTGTATGCGAGAAATGTGGACGTAAGGAAATCTAAAAGGTCCTGTTTTGACTTGAGATTCCCGGTTTTTATCTGCCTTTCTACCCAGTCTCGAATTGCTTGAGATATCGGACTTTCCTCGTTATCCTCTTCGCCAATCAACTGGGACTCTAGTGGTAAGCCACCTGTGAGGAAGCGCATATAGGAGTCACGATGTTCAGATTGGCACATGATGTGGAAATGGCCGGTTTTCCCGTAACGAACGGCCCTTCCTTGCATACGTACGAGTTCGTGTAACGAATACTCGACTACGCGTCGCTCGGAAGTTCTAAGAGGGTCCGTAGTGGCACTTGGTGTGCCAGTCGTGTATTGGGTTCCCATAACGATGACTAAACCAGCTCGCACGGGAATATTCCAACATACCTCCCGAGGTACGATCAGGACCCGCACCACGCCCTCCATAAACAAGCGCAATGCAAGCAACTTGTCATTGGGATCCATTCTATCATGCCACATCGCAAGTCCCTTCGTGATTCCATCTACCATGCCCCTGTTTCTGAATTGATTAGTATATAACCCGAGCGCATCTTGCGATACAGCTTCACCAATGAAACCTCGCATATTCATGGCGAGGGCACATTGAGTTAACAAATCCGAGATGATTGCATTACACTGCGATGTTGATGGCACAAACACCAATACATTTTCATGTATTGGGGTCGCCTGGATTCGATCGTAGAGTGGTTTAGCCATTGCCCTCATGAGAGCGGCCGAGTAAGGGATGGTGAATGTCTGGGATGTGGTGGCAATTGCTTGATCCCGTTCCGCAGGGGAAAGCATGAACTGGCCATCCTCTGAGACATTCAACCACTGTGATAGTGCATCGATATCATTAAGAGACGACGCTAGACCTACTAGACGGACGGGATGGGACTGCAAGGCCAGAAGGAGGTATGAGAGGGCTATCTCATACGTCCCGTTGAGGATTTCAAGATCCCTAAATACGATAAGAGACGGTCTGTACGCAAATCCCTTGATTGTGGTGTCTGTTAAAAGCTCGAGGAGGCAGCGGGTCGTGAAAATCCATACACGGGCCTGTTCCACAATGAAGTCTGACCTCTTGTGAGCAAGGCCAACTTTAACGTCCAATGAACCTCGTAGTTGATACATGACACTACGTGCATTATCAAATCTTGGCACTACGATCATGATCCATTGTGACTGAGCAGCCACACGGAGAGCACGGCTGACATCTGCGTCAGTATAGAGAAGGAAAATTGAGAAGAACAGTACCATATCACAGCTTGAGCTACTAAAGACTTGCCGGAAGAAGCAGGTGCACTGACAAGCATGTTTCTATCTGTATTATATGCC